TCCAGGTGGAGGCTGTCTAGCCTTGTTCATGACATTACTGCAGTTAGCTACCATGGTGAGGATCGTCTCTGACAGCTCCTGAGAAACACTCCTAGAACAAAGTAGGGTAGTGAGTCATGTAACAATCATGAAATTAAGGCCCCTAACTTATTTGTCTTTCCTACAGAAATGGGGCCACATTTCACAAATATAAGTTGCAAAACAACTCCAGCAGAAGCTACATTTGTTATTTGCAAAACCTGCACTATGGAGCATGTCCCAAGAAAAACAGCTATACTTAAACAGAAAATTTTCAACTGTAGTTCTAAAAGTTAACCTCCAATAGAATATTTCAGTAATTCAAATACTGCTTTACAGTTACCCCACCAAGTAACAACTTCCAGAAAGCTGCGATATCTACCCACATGGCTCCAGCAGTCTGTGGGAAGAGCATACTATCTACAAGTGTCTTTGTCTGTTGTTCACATTATGGACTACACACAACTCAGCCTCATGAATTAAAACACACAATAACCGATGCTATGGTCCCTTGTTCAAATGCACTTCAAGGCTCCTTCCTGTCCCCAGACTTCACCAGTCATGATTATTCCCATTCTGAATCTTGTAACACACAAGGTGTCTCCAGAAGAGGAGATAAAACATGATTAAAGCTTGGGCTACACATTTGGAGCACAAAAAAGGCTGAGAGGTAAGTACCACCATACCACCACGTGCTTCATTAAAATTCATCTGTCTATAAACTGAAAGACATGCTTCATGCACCAACATTAAACCAAAACAGACAGAAACCCTAACTATTCAAGGAAATTATAATCAAAAGCTAACAGAAAACTCAAATTTAGGTATGAGGCACTGCACAAGCAAGAGCAGTCAGTACCTCTTTCCAAAGTATTTCATGTCTGACTGCCAGGTTCCCAAACTGAAAGGAAAGCCAGCTCTGCTGCTGACATACCTAGCCACAAACATACTAACACAACACTAACATTTTCCTTTTGGAAAATACAGCCAATTATTTACAGCTTTCCTAAACTTTAGTTCTACCATTTTGGTGGGGACAGCTGAAGCAGCAGATTCCTTCCTGTAATGGGGCAACTATACTAACACAGCTTTGCTGCTTTGTTAACTTTGGAGATTCCTCATTTTAACTCAGTTTTCACAAGCTTTTACTGCACAGCTGTTGGGACAAGGGGAAAAAGAAAGATGAACCATCCCGATGGTTAAGGCAGGAAAACAAAGTGCAGATCAGTCTCCAGCTTTGGCAAGTATCCCATTACAGGCTACACAGAGTTAAGGGCTTCCAGTTGCTCTCCAAAACCAGTGATCTACTATACAGTGTGGGTAGAAGCTCACCCAAGACCAACAGGGGAACCTGGGGAGACATCGTGGGTCAGCAGATTTCCATATGGCACAAACATTTGATCAGCCAAGCCAATTATTCCTTTAGATGCTTTAACATCTCAACAAGGCATAGTGTCAAAGACTTTAAAAGCAAGGGGCTTAGGAGGTTTGTATCAAAAAGTGATCAGAAACCTACCTTCAAAAAAAACCCCAAAGGGATTTCTGTTTTGAGAAAGTGCAACCAGACCTGAAAACAGAGCTCTGAGCATGGCACACAGATTCAGTATCTACAATATGTATTTGTCAACTCGCCAATGCCACAGTCTCAGAAATCTCAACATTTCAAAGTACATTTGACCAATTAACAGGCAGCACACTTTGATTTCTGATGTGGGAGGCATTCCAAGATCTCACAGCACTGCAAGGGAATGGGACAGGGAACTGAAGAGACGAGTTCACACATGGTTACTGCCGTCAATCTTTTGCCCTCTGCTTTTTTTGTAGCTGTTAAATTTTGAGTCTTCATGCTTAAATACTATAGCATGCTTTAGTAAAATAAATTCCAATCTGCTGTAGACAGATAACATAGCAGGCCACAATAAAGACAAAAAAACAGGCTTACAATCCTTTAGTTTGATACTTATGGTGACCAGTTAGGCCATTCCTGCTTTGGAATGAACCACTAACATTGTCTTCCCATCTAGACAGACTGAAGGTTAACTATCATGTCAAAAGGCAGACTAGCATAACAAGATGCAACCACCACAGTACTTTTAGAGAGCCCAAAGCTGCAGGTTTTCACAAAAAAACCCCGCATTTGAGACAAATAATATGAAGAGATAAGTAGGTGGGCATGACTTGATAGCTAGACCTTAAAGAAGGTGTTCCTATTTCCAAGTTCTATGTAAAAACATATTCAGGCATCTAACCTTATCAGTGCTATTCCCAGAAGAGAACGAAGAGAAAACTGCAGGAAGGAGAGCTTTGAAACACAAATAAGGATGAGAGTCAGGGGCCACAGTCAGCCAGCTTTAGAGGAACAAAACTGGCAGCTTAAAGGAAGCTCCAGCTTGCTGGAATAACAAGTTCACATCTCTTTGTTGTCTCCCCCCCATTTTTACAAAGCAAGGAAAGGCCTTTTCATTCTCCTAGGCACAGGTAGCCAGAAGCCTGTTCCCTCCTTGAGGCAGAGACTGACAAGGAATGACCATTTCCAATGTTGACACACTCTGGACACAGCTGCATGGAGGAGGCACTGCTGCCACTCTCAACTCACTGCAGCTCCTTCAGAGGACGACTTCTCATAAGCAACTTGTCATAAGCAACTTGTAACCAAATCACATGCTTGCTCAGCCTGTGGTTCCTGCAGCCACCCTGACTTCATTTTAAAAACACTCAGAAATAAAAGGACCACTCAGTTCCTTTTGAAGCCATGATGCCACAACTGCAGTGCTCACTAGTGCTAAACATGTTGCACCAAAAATAAAGAGTCTCAGAACACACACAGAGTCCTGGGGGCTAAGAAAAGTATCTCCCTGGACACAAAACAGGACACAAAATAACTACAGCCTAACTAAAGAGCAGATTCCTAAATTAGGAGGGAGCAGACTTCAGCTACTGAAATGGAACTACCCTCTCAGACAAATTTAATATTTACTGCGATTTTAATCTTCTAGTCTTCACAAAGCCTGCTTCCATTTGTGACAAACCTAAGCTAATCAAAGCAATTGCTTCATGAAAGAAATCCAAGCATTTTCTTCTTAAAGCTCAAAGAGAATACCTAATGGAAATTGACTGCAAGTAGGTCACATTCTTGCATGAAAGGGAATACAAGTATCTATAAAAAGAAACCAAAAGCGAGAGAATTGTGCCAGTAGAGAACTAGTGACTTTTGGAATTAATTGAATAAATAAAACTTAGTAATACAATAAGATTCAGAACACAGTGACATTAGATGCAAGTCCAGCCTACAGCTAGCTATTAAACCTCTAAAATCTGGACAAGATAGGATGCAAAATAATGAATGTAAGTTAATTTGTGAACTATAGTCTCAGAGGATGCTTTTTTGAGTTGAAAAATAACAGCCATCTCTTCAGTCCAAGAGGTGTGCTAGATCATTGTATTTCAGAAACAGTATTTCAGCAGCATTGAAGTTTAATTGTACAGGTCCCAGTAGAAATCAGGAGAATCCTTTTACCTAAAAATCTTACAGGTACCTCAAATTCCCTTCCAGTTCAAATACCCACTGTGACAATTTTGTGTTGATACACATTTCCTAGCATCTACATGAGAGCTATGAATCATCCTGGATACCTTTAAAGATGTTTCTTATATCTTTCAGGACAACACTGGCTAAGCCAAAGGACACATATAAGCCTTAGATCAGGTAACACACACTTGGACATGCCAGCCTCTTTTGATGTCAAAATCTGACACCAGCTTTCAGTCTCTGGCTCATATGTCACACTAGGCTATGCCTAGTTATCTACAAAATACTGCTGCAGTTAAAACGCCTCCTTTATCTGACAGCATTAAGAAATGACGCCACAAATATTTTACAATATTCAGTCATTCTTACTAAATGTGAATACACTATTTAAAAGCTAATTTGTCCCATTTCCATTAGCCTTTTTGTAGTCTACGTTCCCCTCTAGCAGGTAAAACATCTCTCTAGGACCCACATTTTTTTCCTTCTGGACTTTTAGCTAAACAATCTGATCCTCATGAGATCTTGGATATTTTCCATCCTTTGACTACTCCAAGATTGTCTCAAATGAAGACAGAAGAAGTTACAGAAGAAGTTTCAGTCTCAATGACATTACAATTACCACTTACCACTTTTCTCCTACCCATAACTGCATTAGCCCTTTCTGCTAGGGCAGTAACCACACTGAGGCATTTGCTTAATGCAGTAACAAAATCCTTTATACAGTCACTGTTTTCCAAGATGCTGTCCCATTCTGTAGCTGTGGCCCGTATTCCTTTTTGTCCCCATTATAGCCCTGTATCAAGTCATTAACAACCCAGGATATGACTAATCAGTCATCCCCCAGTTACCAAGATCATTTCACCTGTTTGATTATAAAGACAAGAACACGCTTTCAAGCTCCTGACACCTAACCTACAACAGAAGTTTCAGTGCAAAAATACACATACTCTTGCATCTATCCCTGCAAGCTTATGCACTCATTAACCCCATTCTCCACAGAAAATTCCAAACCAGCTGTGACCACAGGCCAAACAAGTTGCAAACAGATTACACATTCAGTGTAAGCAGTATAATCCTTACCCAGCACAAGCTTGCAGACATGCCAACATAGTCGCCAAGGTTTCTGGAGGAAGCTGAGCACTTTTGGGCTGATCTTTTTCTGGAGCAAGGCCACCCAGGATAGATGGACATCTTCTCTTTAAGAAAGTCATACAGGCCTGGATGAAGGGCTCCTGAGGAAAAAAAGTTATTTTAATCTCTCAAACTGTATCCAAGCCACTATTTCAAACTTGGCAATTGCACTGTGGAAAGAATTGCACTAAGCTATTACAGTTCAGTGAAAACGTTGAACTCTGAGACCATGGACACTTTCCACAACTTTAAAGCTACTGATAAAATTGTTAAAGTGACTTAAGTTAGTCACTGATAGAGTGCAGAAATAAAAAGAAAAATCCTGCTTTACCCCGTGCTCCCGAATTTTATCTGTGAGCCATTTGTCAAGTTTGAGGTATTCCCGTCGAGAGGCAAGTGCAGCAAGGTCAATAACAAAGGCAAATGGAGTACCATTTAGCAGCATTGACAAGGCCTAAAGAAAAAAAAAAAACAGAAGACTACTAGTGAAGACACAAGGATACCCTTCCTCCTTTCTTTTCTAATCCCCATATACTTTTTAGTAAAGAAATCTTTCTATCACATGCTGCTATGCTTTCTTTGTCAATAAAAGATTGGTACTATCAGTTTCACTCACTTATAGCTTGCTCATGAGACAAATAAGCAAGAGCTCTCCTTTGAAATCATGACCCTACCTTCTTTGAAGCAACCTTGTGCTGACAGTTTTAAATTCCTCTATATGAAAATCCACCAGCAAGTAGCTGAGAGCTACCAAGTTGATACTGCAGCAAAATTAATTAGAAGAGCCTACAATCTCCCTGCAAACAGACCTCAATCCCTTCAGAGCCACTTTGAATATATCTGCTCAGTGTTCATCTTTGAACACAGTAACTGCTACAACAAATTGACTTCAAGCAACAGTTGGTGCTTTGAGACACCCAATCATTTTGCACCTAACTTTATGAAGCAATGAAGGCCTCAAAGAAGTCAAGCCACAACTTCCAGTCTTTCATGAATATGTAAACAACTGAAAAGTAGTACTATTCTTAAGAAATCCCTGTTCCATTAAGGTTAGCAGTGGCACCTTCACACAAATACCTGAAGGGTATTTTCTACTTTCCCATTTCAATGGTATTCAAGGTTAAAACACTCCAAGCTCTTCCTGGATTTACAGTACGTTCACATAGCAAGCAGTTCTATTATACTGCTTCCCAAGCTACTTGTCAGCTAAGTCATGATAACCAGCTCTACTGCAAACAAATAAAACACCTTGGGTTTATAACTGGACAAGCTAGAAAGCATCTGCAGTCAGATATCACAACTCAGCTGAAAAGTACTTAAAGTCACATGAACATAGGCTGGGTTTTTTGGGTTTTTTTAAGATGAGGTACAGCAGCAACAAACAAATTCAGACATGCTTAAACAAAGTAAACCTTACTAAATCAGTCACATCTAAATTAAGCTTAGCATTTAAAAGATCAGCAAGTCTGCATAAGACACCAGACAGAAAATAACGATAGTGTTTTGCAAAACTCACCTTCAAGTCTTGCGCCACATCAAGAATACGTGACAATTTTGCCTGGTCATACTGTTCCCCTCTCATGTACCATTCTGCCATTGCATGCATGATAAGCTGACGAATCGAAGGAGACTGACCCTAAGGAGAGTTAAATTAGGATTGTACTTCATGCCTCTAGGAAAAGGAGCAACTGTGTGAAGAAGTTAAGTAGGATATTTAACTCTAAACCTTAACAAGCAAACATATTTACTCCTCAGCTTCAGAGCTGGGCTCTTTTTGTGCAATAATAAACTATCCAGGAGCTACAACTAAAAGATGTAGAATGACTACAGATGGTAAACTATGTACATTTCCATTTCTTTCCTACTATTGTGCAGGTCTAATTCCTCTCAATTGCAGAGAAATTGCTTTTGGAATATGCAAATCATTTACAAAATGTTATGCTGGACCATGTCCTGCAGGGAGAATTGCAGTGTCACACCTTAACATAGAAAACACAGTATCTAGCTCTTTGCTCACACAGGGGCAATTTTAAACTACAACACAACTAAGATTGTGATGGAAGCATGGGGTTTGCTTAAAGGTCTCCTCCATCTGGAGAAGTGAAACACCCTCAAGTTGTGGAATGGCACCACATCACACGGCAGCCATCATTTTACACTTTATTCTGAGTCTACCCTTTTGGAAAAATTGCATATACCGTCAGTTCAAGACCTTAGGCAAAAAGCACATCACTTCTATCCAACTCATCCATTCTTCAGTTTAAAGACTTTTATCAGGAAAAATATAAAACACTCATAGCACTTTATCTAGAAAATAGTCATAATTCTGCAGTGAATGTGGACCAAGACCTCAGAGGTCAAGCTTCTTACCATTAACTCCACTTTACTTGAACAGGGCAAGATGTTTCCTAATTCCTTCCCACCCCAGAGACTTCCTCTGCCTTAAGTTTTTTCTTATGACTCCTACTTGCTTAACTACCAGTGATCAAAATGATGAAGGCCATACCAAAAGGCAAATCCACGAAAGCCTACTTGTTTGACCATTACAAGCATGGGGTTTGCATATATAGTTACCTTATCTCTACATGGAACGTCTCCTTGAAAAAGGTCAGCAGCCAGTCCTAAGCTTTCAGAAAACAACCTAGACTCTTAAGACTTATGGTGTAAGTAGTTTCTTTATACCCAGACTAGCCTCCATCTTTTATCAAGTACAATTGAGATTATTTTGGTTTAAACTTCCTCACCTCTTACTGCTTCAAGTTTCTACACTTCAAGTGTGTGAGGTTGAGAGTTTGGGGGGTGGGGGGTGTGCTGTTGAGATTTTTAGTGTTATTTCATTCTGTTTTTTAAAAATCAAACTTTGGTTAAAACTGAAAGGTTAAAAGAGTCAAACTTAACTTTGGTGTCAACTTCTCCAGGAATATTTTCTCAGTGAACACCATTTCTTTGTTCCGAATATATTTCCCCCAAGAAAATCAAATCATATTTGCTTCAATACGGGGAGGAGACAACTCGTATTACTTTGCATAAACTACTGATAATTTACCCCTTGGGTTTTAAATTACTCAGTTCATAAACCAATACAATCAGCGCTGTTATAACTGTTCAACACATTTAAGAAGCTTTCAGTTACATGAACAAATTGCAGACACTTCAGTGAAAATACTTACCTGTCCATGCCATGCATAGTGCAAAATGATAGCAGAGTTGGGATGGTTACCAAGGAAAATTGGCATGAGTGTGGAGATGAGCTCATGGCGTAAGGTATGCCAGGACGTGTTGATCTGCAATAAGGCCAATACCAACATATCTGGACAATGCTTGATAGGAAAACTGAAGAGCTGCTTAACCTGCTCATACTGTCCCACTTCTGCCAATCGTAACAGAGATTCAATCAAATCCAGGCTCTTCCTAACAAAAGAAAACAGACAGACAAGACAACCCCCAGGCAAAAGTTATGGAGTAGCTTACAGCATCTTGGATTCAAGCATTTTGTAGCAACAACTGTAAGACAATATAAAGCAATGCCCACTGCAACCAACTTGATACTGCAGCTCTAATCACACACAAAATTAAGTGTATAAGACTTCATGTAAAATAACTTTTTTTCCCTACAAGCTAATTTGAAAGCTTAAGAGCTTCTGATTCTGTTAGGGAAGAGGAAGAACTGAAAGCTGATGTTGGAAAAATTCAGCCTGAGGTGGGTCACTTGAAGAATTTAGCTTGCAACATACTTCCAGAAGTGGGATACACTTCTTTAAACTCCAAGCCCCCACCTGTGAAACCTAGTGAAGATATTCAATTTGTTTTGTCTGCTTTACAGACAAATAATCACTGTCACCTTCCTCAATTTACCCCAATTCCCCACTTTCCAATTCCTTATTTTGGGCCATACAATGGAAATAGAAGCAAATATCTTCACTGAAATCAGCTACACAGCTGTATCAAAAGAAGAGATGTAAAAGTCAGCTCAGAACGTCACACTAGTCAGCTTTTTGCAATAACTCAGCAATAGCTATGTAAATTTACTATTTAAATCCCAGGACTTCTTTCATACAAGTTTCTCTAATGCCTTCCTGGGAAAGAGAGATTTAAATTCCTATCTCCTCTATTCCCTCCTCTTAGCTCAGAGTATCTGTCAAAATACATCAACAGAAATTCTCTAGACAACCAGAAGACTCCGATAAAAGCAAGAACTGGCAGTACATTTTCAGATGTTATCGAGGTACACAGGGAGTTCTGAACATATGATAACTTTCACCAACCAAACACAGAACAAATACTAGTGGCTGATCTTTTGGGACCTACAGACAGATGCAAATAAACATGGCTGCACAAAAATAAAGCCACATTTGACCAGACAGGTAACCTTACTCTAACTCTAGGTAGGAAAACCACTTGAGAGCAGTTTACCATGTAGCAATTTCTCGATTGTCATCCTCTGGTGGTGCTTTCAGGATGTCTGTGGCAACAGTATGACAAGGGTAGTCAGCAAAACAGAAGATGTCAGGGTTTATGAGGGAATGTTGAATGAAGGAGAGCTGGAATAAAAGACATCAAAAATAGTTTAGCTATAAAGAATTTCAGGTTCTTTCCACATTTCTAAGAATGAAACAAATCAACAAAGCAGTAGAGATGAGCCAAGATTTACTATCAGTTTATTTTACATAGACTGAGCCTCACACTTCTCCCCTCCCATAATTTCTGAGAGTTAGATACAGGTGTGCTGAGGGCACTTGTTTGCACAAAGCTGTAGCTTTTGTGTGTAAGCAGGTAAAAATCTTAGAGCAGCCATGCAGCAATGGTTCTACACTCAGCTGCATTATGCATCAGAACTCTGCTAAAACCAAAGGGGTTGTCACATGTACAGCAAGTGACCATCTTCTCCCAAACAATGCAGACACTGTTCAAGTAACAGACTGTACTTCAGTAACTTACTTGAGGCCCATGCCTTACAGGCCTAGTTCTCAAGTGTGGCTTGTCTAAAAATTCACATTACCAATCCACATTTGCCATTCAAGAAATTCAGGAACTTCCCAAGTGTTGTACAGATACAGCAGAAACATTGGTAACCCTACCTGGCCCTCTGCATGCTTCCAAGGTCTGTATATGGCATTAACTGGAAAAACTTCCATGCCCAGCCCTCTCTGGATGCCAAACACTACAATATGCAGGCCCTTGCTGTCACGAATCTGAAATCCTGGATGGTCCAATTCATAGGTTACTACTTTGAAGTCCAGACTAGGATTCTGCAACCAGAAAAACAAAGACAGTCAGCCTTGAACATTACTATCTTCACTACAGTCTTGTAAGAACCCCTCTTCATCAGTATTT